TACCCGAAAGGTATTCATCCTGATCTTTCTAAGAGTTCAACACGGACTTCATCAGCTGCAGCTCGTTTTCAAGGTATGATAAAACGATGCTGTAAATTTCATCTTCGGTCTTGATTTCGTGCAGGCAGAACAGTTTGTCGTCGGTGTAAAGCAGAGAGCTGTAGGGAGTTTTCTCAACCCCATGCGAAATCTGCCCAACATCAAAAATGCGTTGGTTGTCTGTCATCCAAAGGTGGAGTCGGTCGCGATTATAAGCTCCTTGGAAATTCAGTGGGTGAGTGAAAAGCATCACACGCTTCCCCTCAATCGTTGCAGCAATGAAGCCAGCTTCGCATCCAGGACCAGTACGTGAAGGCGAGTTACCCCAGACGTGAGACAGCGTACCTAGTGCTTCTTTCCACGTCTCTCCCATGTCAGATGACTCGAATACCCTGCGGTAACCGTTGTCGCGACGACTGTTCAGAATTAGCTTCCCCTCCCACTCAACAACCGCAGACTCAGTACAATCATAGGGAGTGAACCCTTTTGAAAACGCCCACGTCGCACCGTCATCCACTGAATAGATCATTGAAACAGAAACGCGTTTATCCATATTCGACACCTGAACAGGGAACAGAAGGGTTCCATTTGATGCCACTATGGATGGACCCACACCACCAATAAACTGTTTTGTTCGCACTCCATTTACCCACTTGGGCAAAATGGAACTCAGACAGACAGGCTCCGTCCACGTGATCGATGCAATTGGTTTCCCATTCACGGTCCACTTATTCACCTCACCAATAGCCAACGGTGTATACCAATCGCTTCCATCAGGCTGTTGAACCCAGTTGAGAGGCGACTCATAAAAGCCTGCAACAAAGACATATAACTTGTTTCCCTTGACAATGACCGTCGGGTCCATCACACGAGAGCGGTTCACGTTCACGCGACTGTTCTTGATTGCGATCTGCGTCTTCCACGTTTTACCGCCGTCCACGCTGTACTTCACAACAGTTTCAATAAAGGATTGATCATCACCAGAGATGTACCGGGCATCCGCAATGGCAACAAGCACACCATTCACCTCAACAAGGCTGGGAATTCGAAACGAGTGGACAACCCTTTTCGTGATAGTTCCATTGTCTTCCTCAAAGGGTACTGATGTCACACCTTGTTTGAACAGAAATGTTCGCTTTGGTCTTCCCCTCCTCGTGAAAGAGCTTTGTGCCGTTCCGCTACAGAAGAGCACAAGAAGCAGAAACACAAGCTCCACATACAAAAGAGTCTTGCACATGGATCTCCTTGCCTTCCACTCAGCTTGTAAACTCATATGCCGGTTTCGTTCCTCCCGCTGTAATTTCTTACAAGTGTCTTGTTCTGCTATTTGCTTTTTCCCTTTTTCTTCCGGCGTGTCACCACTGCTTAATTAATAGAAACTTCGCTTTGTCTATTCGAAAAAAAATTGGAGAAGAGAGAAAGAAAACAAAAACATCAGCAGAAATTCATCTTCAGAGAAGAAACACTGTTAGACAGAGTCAACACAAGCAGCAACCCTCGGAGTATCGAAAACTCTTGTGCCTCTCACCCACAGTGAGCCTCAAGATGCAAGAAAATTCAATCACCATCCCTGCAATATCGGGCACCCCCGCGTAACTCAAAAAAATTTAACCACTAACTGTTTATGGTGTACTTTCACACCCATTGCAATCCCAATTTAACTAATTGTATAATTATACGCATTAAATACTCAAGCATTTGTGACCCTCAATCGCTCTTTTTTTTTTTTTCTTTTAGTTCCTCACTCAGGTGTAGAAGCCGTAAATCATAAAGAAAGAAAAAAAAGTGTATTAAATGCCGGCAAATTACAAGAACAGGCTTGTAGTGAGTAAAAGTTCATATGATACACTACTTCACAAAAACAAAACATTATTTTCCTTGTATCCTGTTTTTTTTTCTCTGGAAAGACAGTCCTCTCTCACACACACACTTCATCGTTACCAGCAATGAATAAATCCATTACCTTATTTCTCACACTTTTCTGAGAGGGTTTTCATTTACACTCCCACACACTGTCACCCGCATGCGGCAGTTTGATGTCACATTCTTTCTGCTTTATCTGTGTGGCCAGAGTACGGGCATTGTCCAAAATCCCAGTGATGTATAGGGCAATGTAGGACTGTTGAGGGAATTGAATGCCCACTACACTCCACTGCAGACTCTCTTCAAAGAAGTGGCGAGGGTTATCTCTCCCACACATAAATCAGTACTAACTTGATGTGGATGGTGCAGTTCATGGCATGATGAAACACTCTCCCGTTCTAAAAAAGATAACACCATCCACAAACAAGAGACCTCATTGGTCCTTACGTGTTTGGTGGGCCCACAAAAAGCAGCAGATCAGCAATAAGAACAACATGATGCATATGAGGGAAATGCTGCTTCTGTCTGTTGACTTCCCCACGACAATGAACAACACTGGGCCCTGTCACCTAAATGGGGTGGTCACCATTGTCAGAGTTATTATCTTTTTGGTTATCTCCTTCTTTTGGGGAAAGTTAAACTTGTTATTCTGCTTCCCTCCCGTGAGGGAAATAAATAGGGTTTCCAGTTAGAGAAGACTCACCTCATTTGTATTGAGCGCCAAGAAAACCTCAGTCCCGATTGATCCCCGCAAGAAAGGGTTTGGTCAGAAAGAGATTCTTCCTTTCAACATCACATAAATTCTTTCATAATAGTGTACACATGCCACGTCTCCCATTACTCTGGTATTAGTTTCTATATGGGAACAAAACATCAGCCCACATAGTACAACAGGATCAGTGCAACAAAGACCATTAAGAGAGACGCATAAAACTCTTCAATTCTACTTACTGGAGTAGGGATTTTCCTTTTCCAAGATAGATGTAGCGGAGATTCGAGGAGTCAAGTAGACGCAGAAGACTTAGTAGAGAGTCCTATACGTCTAAGTACAAGAGGAATAATCTCAAAACCCCACTGTACCATTGCCAACATAACAATTGCAGTAATATCAAACGGCAATAATGAGATCAGAAACCCGCACCTCTAAGAGGTATATAGGATTTCAAATGCCAGATAAACGGAGACGTCCATCCAATCAGACCAAAGTTAAATAATGAACATGAAAACAACAGAGAGCACCTCGACAGCTTCAGTTACAGTGTGCTCATCGCATAGAATCCTTGAGAAATATAGGGAAAGTAAAGAGATGCACATGGGGAAGCAAGAAATATAGTAAATTAAAAAAAAGTAAAAAAAAAGTAACAGCAGCAACAGTAGTAGTATCAGAGAAGCAGAGAAACAAATACTCTTACAAACAATTCCACCCAAACCCATTTGTTTTCGACCTGAAAGAATGTGTCCTGCTTTTCTCAAAAAAGAAGGAAGGGGAGAGGGCATTTATTATTTTTCCTCAGTGTGTGTGTTTTTTTTTTTTTTTTTTTTGCCGCATATCTTAAAAATAAATGCCCTCATAAAGAGTCTTAGATGACTCCCCACTACCCATGAAAATTGAGTACTAGCGAAAGAGAGGTCATGAAAGCCTTTTTACACGTGCCTTCCGCACACGACGGAGAAAAACGGATCGGATAGGCTTTCAAAAACGTACCCTTTGCGAGAAAATCAATCATAATAAATTATAAAAAAAAAATGATATTATGTACTTTTCCAGAGACGACCAAGGTCAGATCATTTCTTTCACAAGTTTTCTTTTTTTCTTTTAAAACAGGATCACATTATAAATGTTCAGTGAAAAAAAAAGCCCAGGCACAAGCGCCCCCTCCACTGCCGTTGCACTCTCTCTCTCTCGATCTCGGCATGTGTACATAAAATCACATCCATACGCAGTCGGGGTTTGCTGCAAAAAATGCAAAAAAAAAGTTATTTCCAAAAAATGAAAACAAACAAAGCAAAATAATAATAAAAACGATTAAGAGTTATGAGAATTTTCTTTTTCCATGGAATGAAGACTACTCAAAATTAAAAACATTTGGTGAGTCAGTCTGAAATATGCAATTTAATTTTAAAGACCGTAATAAGCAAAGTTACTTATTATTTCTGGACGTAAATGGGGTTCATGGAACCAGCACTACTGCAAGCACACACACAAGTAGTGCAAGAGAGGCAGTGTACGGTGTCCTGAGACTCTTGTCAGTACCTTCGACACCAACAATACCCATATGGATACTGGAAACACCCTGCTGCACGTGGGTTGAGTCACCACTCACATCAGTAAAGTTGTATCTGTTGTCTGAATGGGTGATGTCGCTGCTGCCTGGGACCTCAGATGGTGGTAATACGTTTTTCTCTTGGTCGCTCCCTTGTGGTTTTGCGGAATTGTCACGTGAACCACTCACATTGTTGGATAGTTTGCTTTCCTCAACTGCAGCATCTTCTTTACCCGTGGAACCATCAACGTCACCCCTCACAGGATTGGATTCGTGGGCTTGAGGGACAATTGGGGTTTGGGAAGATACACCGTAACTTCCTTCACTCACGGGGGTTCTCTCTGACCGCATATTGGTTTCTGATTCCACAATGGAACTACTCACAGGTTCACCAGCAGTACCTTCGTTACCCTTGTTATCCACCTCAGGAAGTCGTGCTACTTCTTGTTCTTCTTCTTCCGTCGAAGTAACGTCAACTAAGTCCGGCAACCCTGTGCACACTTCTTCGTATCTGGGGCAAACAATACTCCCACCTTTGAATGCTGAACTCTCCAGTTTAATGGTGGCGTTTTCACCACTGCACTCAATCCAATGAGTATCTTTCATACCCTTGTATTGCACACTCACCTTGCCATTCTCACACTTTACCTTTGCACAAATGCCCTTTACGGTCACTCCATTTCTCTGATCTCCCTCGCTGAACTCCGGCTCTTTCACATTCAGACACCGTGACATTTTACTCACAATACTTCCAGGCATCAGTTCAACATTACCACTCTCACACGTAGTTTCCTTTAATGGTTTGACGATGGGACAGCCATTCGTCATCTCATTCTGTCCAGCAGTCTTTGTAAAGTAGTGGTACTCCCCAGGCAGGGTACCTGGCAGTGACTTGGAGGAACACGTTCCAAGGGCGAAACGGTCAGATGTGCACTGCAAGACCGGTCCGTTTTCGTCGCAGAACATGCTGGTGTACTTCATTAATTCATTCTTGTCCTTTGTGCATGTCTTATGAAGTAAATCACATCCAGATTTATTCCCCCAGCTCATCGGCTCTGCCATGCTGAAGTTCGCGCTGTAGAAGGGCAAGGAATGGAATGCTGCAAGTGTCAGATTAGTGTAGAACATGCCAGATGGTTCTTCTGTGTATGGACTCATCAATTCATCCTTCGCAATCCTTCGCTCCCAGTGCAACTTGCTGCGACCATCACCCTCATCCTCCATGTACATGCCGGTAACGAGTTGCGCTACACAGCCGTAATGTTCTCTCATCTTCTTCTCCATTATTTCAGAATACACAGCATTCTCTTTCTTGTTTGACGCCACTGTTCCATATTTAATCCTGTCATAGTTTTGCATACGGCCCACTTCAAACCCAAGTAAATGTGCAATCTCATGCGCTGCTGTGCGGACAAAGTGTCTCGTGTCCACAATCTCTTTCGGTACAAAATGGATCAGTGCAGAAGTTGGTCGTTTGTTTTCTTCTTCAGAACATACTCTCGTTGGCGTTTGAGATTCAGCAAGACCCACAAAAAGCACAAAATCAGCTTTAGGGAAGCTTTCCTTTTTACTCAACTCAGAAATTTTTTTTGGGCAATCTATCGAGGAGAGTGGAGTCATGGTGCTTGCAGAGACCCCAACTCCACCTCTTTCCCGTTCAATGCTGAGACGATCTGTATGCAACTTGATCGCGGCGGGTAAGAGTTTGTTCAGTAAGAGGTCCTTCTTTTCATCGGTTATCCCAGTTTCATTATTGCACAGCACATTATTCTTTTCATTCCATCTAGACCACCACACAGGCCTTCTGTCTTTGGCTATCTCCAACTTTCTTTTACACTCCTCCAACACTTTATCCACGTCATCAGAGGATACTTTGATGCGAATGGGCCTCCAGTTTTCCCCACTCTTCTCATCTTCGGCAACAGTGTACGCATGCAAAGCACTCTCTCCTTTCTGCGGTAAGTGCCGTACAACAGCAGCAAAGGACGTGCCGGCACAGCACAATAACAAGAATAGCAGCAGTACAGGGTACAACAAGTGACGCATAAAGTACTTCTCCATTATACAATGGTGTGAATGAACGTAAGTGTGTGAACTTGTCTGTCTGTGTGTGTGTGTGTGTATGTGTGTTGCTTTGTTCTTGTGACAGTAAAAGAGCAGAGATAAGAAAAAAAAAGCGAACATGTTAAGGAGGAAAAAGTGTTCATGTGTACATTAATAAGAATGCTATTAGAAACCACTACCAACGCTACCACTGGTACGAGAGGAATACCAAGGGTAAAATAATAGGAGAAACCAGAGAGATAAAGTAGTCATCAGCATTATTGATAGGTGTCTACTCAGTAGCAACAACACTACAAGAAAAAAAAAGAATTTGTGAAAGAGTTCGCAGTAATCTCCACTTCAGCTGTTTTACTTGTGGACTGAAAGTGCACAGCATCCATCTGCACTTTTTCTCGCGGTTGCTGTTGTTCTTGTTGTGGTCACCGACGCAGCAGTACAAAAAACAGAATGACAGCCACAATAACAACAACAACCACAACTGCGATAACGATACCAACAATACCAACAATGGCACCAACAGATAATTTATTTGAACTTGGCACCACTGCTGAGTCACCCTTCGTCAAAAAAGGTTCCCTCACATCACACGACCAAACATAACGGCGGCCGTTAACTGTCACATTAGATGCAACAAAGCAAAAGGTCACTTTGTCAGCACCCAGTTTATACAGACTGTACAGACTCAAGATGTCAACATCAACAGATGGGGAATTTGGGGTGCTACTACTCACACACACAGAGTCTCGAGCAGTAGCCACAGACTCACACGGTATATTCGGCAGCACCGCACACACTTCATATGGTTCCTGCCTCGATAAGAGATCACCCCCACGCACATCAATCGTCACCAACGTGTTTGTAATCACAGTAACATTGAAAACAAAGGGATCCTGCAATACTCTTACTGGAAGTGCAGCGGGAGAAATACCAACCTCTGCACCGTAATCCACGCAGACAGCGTAGTCACCTGTTGTTGCAGAGAAGGGTCCACCCTTAGCAGACAAGTACACACGATCCGTGACAGCGGTCCCAGTACACACATCAACACTCACTGCCTGATCACCACTGTTTAGTGTCTCTCGTGAACACACCCACTGTGTGGGCACTTCACCAGGAACACACTGTTCATGTCAGTCACATTCGCACCTGTCACTGCGTCCTGGAGCAACAGTGTGTTTTTCCCGAGAGTGTTCATATACAGCTCGTTTGGCACCAGCCCCCTCACTTCGAGGGGAATTCCACCCCACGGCAAGTAGTGGCCTCGCCATCCACTCGCGGATAAGCAGAGTGAATAGTTCCCAGGAATAGGAAGGGGTGCAGAAATCGCCAATTTGTAGCATCCAGTAGCAGCAATGCAGTTTTTTGCCATGGCATCACAGTCTGACTGAGGAGGAACCAGCAGGTAGTTCTGAATGGGATTGATATTTGGGAAATTTGTCCGCACCATTCTCTTCAACCCATAATAGGCACTGTTAGAAGTAAATGATGCTAATGTCGTGGAAGGGTATACAAAACTCATGGTGAAGTTGTTCGTCACTGGAATAGAACCCTTTCCCTGAACATAGTTCACAATGACAAGACTCATATCCCCTGAAACAACTCCAGTAATTGGCAGAAATGTAATGAGATTTGTTCCCTCCACAAGAGAAGCTGGCCATCCAGGAATGAGTCCACCATTGTGGAAATACCCAACCGTAAGAGCCAAGGTACTTAAAACATTGGCATTGTCCATCTCGCAGTGTTGTGTTGTTTGACTGGGGGAGACCACCATATTAGGAAAGCAATCGGTAATGGTTGTCAAAATACCATTTGTACCAGCAGCTGTAGCATAGCAGAGAAATACGTTTAGTATGGGCAGCAGTAGCCATAACAAAAAAAAAACCCTATTGGACCTTCTCATGCCCACCAGAAGAATGCAGCACCACTGCGCATCACTCCCTATTACTTATCTCATTCCCAATGCAAACACACCCCCACACCCACACTCACAAACGGCAGAATACCCACTGCACAAAACAGTCTTCTTCTCAAAGTGGCAATGAGAGCCACAGAAAGAGTCTGAAACACACAGTATTCCAAATCAGCCGCAAGAAAAGGATACAACAACTAGACAAATATCACCGTCAAGAGTAAACACAGGGAATGCTGGCACACCATGATAGGGTATAATCGGGGCAGTTCAAGTAGAGAAGCATATGGGACTCTGTACTCCACTCTCCCATTCCCCAACCAGTCCTCAGTGTTCACCAAATGTATACCGTGGTACACACAACACACTGTGGACCTCTCCAGAATGAGTCAGCTCCCGCAGAGAACACAGCAATCAAAATGAACCCCTTAAACTAAACAAATGTTCATGTACAGTGTCTATTCATCTTTTTTGAATGAGCCTACATAATGATAAGAAAAATTAAAAAAAAAGGAAGAAAAAAACACATGCCAACAAATACACCAAGTAACGAAAGTATATTATTTTCACATCATAACAACGATACATCCATGAACAACATTCTCCCTAGGGAAAAGAAAAAACATCCATACTCATGATATTACCCCAATAAAGAAATCATTAGACTAATCCCCACAGTGAAAGTTTTTCCACACACAAGAGAAAATGAATAGTAATCAAAAACACCTTTGTGGTACATGTTGCTGTAGTGCGGCAATCCCACAAAGACACACACACACAATAAATTGATTGTAAAAAAAAAAAAAATGTGTTCGACCCACACCCAGAGAAAAAAAAATTATATTTAATATCATCCCATCGAATTCCTGCCCAGTCACACATCACTCACACCTAGTGCGGCCTTCAACGTGCTCGCTTACTCGTCTGTTCCATACGCACTTTGCAAAAGGTGAGGTGAAGAAATCAAGCATCGTGTGGGGGCAAATAAAGGGACGTTAGGAGTTAACCCTTGAACTCCAGAGATTGTAGCAAACAGTTAATTTTCCAAAAAAACAGAAAAAAAAAAAATTCAATGGTGCTGAACCCAAGGAACAGCCGCAAGAAAAAAAAAAACAATTAAAAAGAAAAGGGTCCACACTATGGACAGCAATTATTTTTTATTGATGCAACCAAGCCCAATTAGGAATCATATTCACGTGGTTGCGCACACATTTATAGGAGAATTGTTGCAAGAGCCCACAACCCCAGCAGAAGTATTGGCAATCCATATCCATATACACGAACAGTGCCATCAATAGTGTTTTGGTGGGCCTTCGCAAGTTCAACGGTGATCTGCGAATTCGCTTGCCCTCCACTGTTCGTATTCCCTGTGTCCTTAGTTGGCTCAGCTCCTGCAGTAGTGCTGGTAGCAGAATTCTGGTGAGAAGCTGTTACCTGCTCTGAAATTCTCTTAATTTCACTTTCTGACAATAAAACATTCGCCTTGTTCTTAATCAGTGCATCAATTTCAGTGGGAAGGAGCCCACGGTTGTATAGCATAACATCTTTCACTGTTATATGGACATTGGCTTTTACTTCTTCATCCTCGCGACTGTACGCACCAAAGTAGAAGTGGGAAATTACTTCCCCTTCTTGTGCGATTCTCAAGTCAGTTCCCACGTCTAAACGAGTACCGTTGATATACACAGAGCCCTTACCATTCTCAAATGTCAATATCACAGAATATTCATTGTCCACTTCCCATTTAGGTATTTCAGCCTTCCCTTCATTGTCATTCTTTACTGTGCTCCACGTTTTGTCCTTATTGTACGACACCCCCAGAAAAATCATGCGCTCAGCACCCCACAGCCTTGCACCCAACAAAGGCCTGCTGTCCTCCTCTGGTACAGCGTGGATAGTTACCGTCGCCGCAAGAGTAAAGGCATAGTTTGCAAAGTGATACTGCCTCGCCAGTCTACCATCGCTCAGGGGCCACACTGCTCCTGCACCAGCACCGTTGAAGTTCAAACCATTAGAAACTTTCTCTGTTGTACCACTTACAACGGCATTCACGCAGAGGTATTCATCATTCCATTCTCCTCCATCGCTCTTTCCAGACAAATAGCCCACCAGTCCAATAGTGGAAACAGGATATTTACACTGACCAGATGTACAGGCTTTACCAGATAAGGTCTTGTCCTGTTCAGTCCACGTGGTTAACACCCTCTTAATGTCCTCCATAGCAGTCGTCAGTTCCACAGAAAAATCTCTGTTTTCATCGTTCTCAATACCAGCCTCATACAGACAGTACAGTTTGTGATCCTTGAACAATAAAGTACAGGGTATCCCTTCTTTATCCTTATTTATCACACCAACGTGATAAATACGTGTGTTATCAGTAAGCCACAGATGGCGTTCGATACCTTCAGAATCCAGAGACTGCGCAAAAAGAATGACATCTTTCCCATCAATAGTTGCAGTCATGAAGTTGTTTTGACTTCCACGACCAGGATATACAGGGGTGCTGGCCCACACACGAGAGAATGTACTGGTTGACTCTTTCCACGTCTTTCCCAAATCGCTGGACTGATACACTCTGTGGAAGCCACTGTTATGCTGAGCAATCATCATCAAGTTACCTTCCTTCCACTCAAGGATAGCAGGATTATAAGTATTCCCTTCGTCAGCCAAACCAGCAATATTCCACTGTTTATCATGGGATGTGTAATACATAACTGTCGAAATGAACCTGTTCTCCGTCGTAACCAATTGCACAGGAAACACAAATGTACCGTTTTTCATTGTCAAAATTGGTGTGATCTCGTTACCAAGGAATCCCAGAACCGTTGTTGTTCCCTCCGTAAAAGGAAATTTAACATTGAAAGGAGTGTAACTCAACGAATACTTTTCGGTTCCATTATTAAGAGTAGTCACCCACACTAAGCGAAGAACAGAACCTGCTTCGATTGGAGGGATGTTTCTTTCCACAAGAGCAACCACAGCCCGAGGATCACCATGAGGTTTATACTTCTCGAGATTTTTACCGTATTTATCTGTTTTGGGACCGAACCACTTTAAGTGGATTTCAGTCCATTCTCCATTGTTATTCATATCTTGTGACAGAAATTCGACGAATTCACTGTTGTCTTTAAGCGACTGTTCCACACCAGCAGCATCAATTGCCACCAGTTCACCATTCACAAATTCCACAACATGAACACCATTAAATCGACGGAAAGAAATTTCTGAAGGAACAGTAGATGATGTTAATTCTCTCTGTTCTGCTTGTTGCCTTGATTGTCGTTCTTCTAGTTCTTTTAGTTTTTTTTGTTGTTCTTCTTCTTCTTTTTTCCTTAGTTCTTTTAGACGTTCGTGTAGTTGTTGTAGTTCATCATGTCCAGGCATCATTTTTTCTGTGGGTTCATCACTGGGTACTCCATCATCATCAGCACTTCTTTGAGAATGACTCTCTTGTGCATACCCACTGATGCAGCCCAGCAACAAGAGGAGCAATACAACAAACAGAGAGTGGGGCATTTTGTATTTCATTGGTGCCCTTCTTCCTTCTCTCTCACTCTCTTTGTCTCCTCAGTCCTTTCTTTCTTGTTGTCTTCTTGTTCTTCTCTTCAGGATGAAGAGGTTATTCAAATACTTGTAGTAAATGCCAAAAAGTACTTGTGTTTGTATGTGTGGCGGCTGGTGATTACTTTTAAGGCTATAAAATTGCAAAGTAGCGTTTGTAGCTTAGCCTATTCAATCACAAGATGGACACAATTGGTACAAAAAAATCAGAAAAAAAGAAAAAAAAAACACAGGAGAGAGTGAACAGACAAGAGAACACACAGAGGCGGGCACACCACAGTAAAAATAAACAAACCCCATTTCATCAAGAACAGTATATTCATAATCACAAAGAATACGCACACAGACTAAGGTCAGATCGTAAAATCAAACCAATGAGGCAATACACACATCAGCCCATCCATAGGTTGAGTCTACACACACAAACACACACATGCATGTACAATCCGAATCCGGCAAGCAGCCGTTAGGGGAATACCCATGTGAAGAAGAGGAATATTACAACAACAGAGATATATCCCTAACCAACACCATTGGCTCTCACTCTCCATTACTTATTCCATTCATCATGCAAAAAAACCACACACACCCATACACACACACACACACCTACACACAAACAGCAAAATGTCCAGTCAAATAACACCGTCAAGAACAAATAGAGGGAATGCGGCCCCACCATGATAGGGTATAATCGAGGCAGTTCAAGTAGAGAAGCATATGGGACTCTGTACTCCACTCTCCCATTCCCCAACCAGTCCTCAGTGTTCACCAAATGTATACCGTGGTACACACAACACACTGTGGACCTCTCCAGAATGAGTCAGCATCTGCAGAGAACACAGCAATCAAAACAAACCCCCTAAACTATATAAATGTTCATGTACAGTGTCTATTCATCTATTTTGAATCAGTGTACATAATGATAAGAAAAATTTAAAAAAAGAAGAAAAACACATGCCAACAAATACACCAAGTAACGAAAACAGATTATTAGGACATCATAACAACGATACATACATGGGCACCATTCTGCCTGGGGAAAAGAAAAACATCCATACTCATGATATTACCCCAATAAAGAAATGATTAGACTAATCCCTACAATGAAAGTTTTTCCACACACGCACACACATGGATTTCAAAAAAAAAAAATTGTTTTTGCCCCACCCACACACACACAAAAAAAAAACTTATTTTTAATATCATCTCATCGAATCCCTGCCATGTCCAAACATCATTCTCACCTAGTGCGGCCCTCAATGTGCTCGCTTACTCGTCTGCTCCATACGCACTCTGCAAAAGATGAGGTGGAGAAGTCAAGCATCGTGTGGGGGCAAATAAGGGGACGTTGGGAGTTAATTCCTGGACTCCATAGATTGTAGCAAACAGTTAATTTTCCAGAAAACAGAAAAAAAAAAGAATTCAATGGTGCTGAACCCAAGGAACAGCCGCAAGAAAAAAAAAACAATTAAAAAGAAAAGGGTCCACACTATGGACAGCAATTTTTATTTACTGATGCAACCAAGCCCAATCGGAAATCATATTCACGTGGTTGCGCACACATTTATAGGAGAACTGTTGCAAGAGCCCACAACCCCAGCAGAAGTATTGGCAATCCATGTCCATACACACGAACAGTGCCATCAATAGTGTTTTGGTGGGCCTTCGCAAGTTCAACGGTGATCTGCGAATTCGCTTGCCCTCCACTGATCGTATTCCCTGTGTCCTTAGTTGGCTCAGCTCCTGCAATACTGCTGGTAGCAGAATTCTGGTGAGAAGCTGTTGCCTGCCCTGAAATTCTCTTAATTTCACTTTCTGACAATAAAACATTCGCCTTGTTCTTAATCAGTGCATCAATTTCAGCGGGAAGGAGCCCACGGTTGTATAGCATAACATCTTTCACTGTTATATGGACATTGGCTTTTACTTCATCATCCTCTCGACTGTACGCACCAAAGTAAAAATCGGAAATTACTTCCCCTTCTTCTGCGATTCTCAAGTCAGTTCCCACGTCTAGACGAGTACCGTTAATATACACAGAACCCTTACCATTCTCAAATGTCAATATCACAGAATATTCATTGTCCACTTCCCATTTAGGTATTTCAGCCTTCCCTTCATTGCCGTTCTTTACTGTGCTCCACGTTTTGTCTTTATTGTACGACAATCCCAGAAAAATAATGTGCTTGGTGTGGTCCCACAGCCTTGCACCCAACAAAGGCCTGCTGTCCTCCTCTGGTACAGCGTGGATAGTTACCGTCGCCGCAAGAGTAAAGGCATAGTTTGCAAAGTGATACTGCCAAGCCAATCTACCATTGCTCACGGGCCACACTGCTCCTGCACCAGCACCGTTGAACTTCAAACCATTAGAAACATTCTCTGTTGTACCACTTACAACGGCATTCACGCAGAGGTATTCATCATTCCATTTTCCTCCATCGCTCTTTCCAGACAAATGGCCCACCAGTCCAATAGTGGAAACAGGATATTTACACTGGCCAGCTGTACAGGCTTTACCAGATAAGGTCTTGTCCTGTTCAGTCCACGTGGTTAACACCCTCTTAATGTCCTCCATAGCAGTCGTCAGTTCCACAAAAAAATCTTCGTGTTCATCTTCCATATTACGAGGATCATACAGACAGTACAGTTTGTGATCCTTGAACAATAAAGTACAGAACATCCTTTTATTATCCTTATTTATCACACCAACATGATAAATACGTGTGTCATCAGTAAGCCACAGATGGCGTTGGATACCGTCAAAATCCAGAGACTGCGCAAAAAGAATGACATTTTTCCCATCAATAGTTGCAGTCATGAAGTTGTTTTGACTTCCACGATCAGGAGTTACAGTGGACTCAGCCCACACACGGGAGAGTGTACTGGTTGACTCTTTCCATGTCTTTCCCAAATCGCTGGACTGATACACTCTGTGGAAGCGACTTTCATGCTGAGCAATCATCATCAAGTTACCTTCCTTCCACTCAAGAATAGCAGGATTAGAAGTATTCCCTTCGTCAGCCAAACCAGCAATATTCCACTGTTTATCATGGGATGTGTAATACATAACTGTCGAAACGTGTTTTTCATCAGTCGTACGAAATTGCACAGGAAACACAAATGTACCGTTTTTCATTGTCAAAATTGGTGTATTCTCGTTACCAAGGAATCCCAGAACCGTTGTTGTTCCATATTCAATGGGAAATTTAACATTGAAAGGAGTGTAACTCAACGAATACTTTTCGGTTCCATCATTAAGAGTAGTCATCCACACTAAGCGAAGAACAGAACCTGCTTCGATTGGAGGGTTGTCACTTTCCACAAGAGCAACCACAGCCCGAGGAACATCATGAGGTTTATACTTCTCGAGATTTTTACCGTACTGCTCTGTTTTGGGACCGAACCACTTAAAGTGGATTTTACTCCACTCTCCATTGTTATTCATATCTTGTGACACAAATGTGACCAATTCATTCTTATCTTTAAGCGACTGTTCCACAAGAGCAGCGTCAATTGCCACCAGTTCACCACTCACAAATTCCACAACATGAGCACCATTAAATATAAGGAGTGAATATTCTGAAGGAACAGTAGATGATGACATTTCTCCTTGGTCTGCTTGTTGTCCTGGTTGTTGTTCGCTTCTTAGTTCTTTTAGACGTTCGTGTAGTTGTTGTAGTTCTTCATGTCCAGGCATCATTTTTTCTGTGGGTTCATCATTGGGTACTCCATCATCAACGGGACTTCCTTGAGAATGACTCTCTTGTGCATACCCACTGATGCAGCCCAGCAACAGGAGGAGCAATACAACAAACAGAGAGTGGGGCATTTTGTATTTCATTGCTGCCCTTCTTCCTTCTCTCTCACTCTCTTTGTCTCCTCAGTCCTTTCTTTCTTGTTGTCTTCTCGTTCTTCTCTTCAGGATAAAGAGGTTATTCAAATACTTGTAGTGGATGCCAAAAAATGCTTGTGTTTGTATGTGTTGCGGCTGGTGATTACTTTCAAAGCCATAAAATTGCAAAGTAGCGTTTGTATCTTAGCCTATTCAATCACAAGGTGGACACAATTGGTACAAAAAAATTAGAAAAAAAGAATAAAAAAACACAAGATAGAGTGAACAGACAAGAGAAACAAAGATAGGCGGACACACCACAGTAAAAATAAACAAACCCCATTTCATCAAGCACAGTAGATGCATATTCACAAAGGATAAGCACACCAACTAGGGTCACAACGTAAATCAAACCAATGAGGCAATACACACATCATCCCATCCATAGGTTGAGTCCACACACACACACAAATACGCACATGCATGTACAATCAGAATACGGCAAGCGGCCGTTAGGGGAACACCCATGTGAAGAAGAGGAATATTACAACAGCAGAGATGTATTCCTAATCAACACCATTGGCTCTCACTCTCCATTACTTATTCCATTCACCATGCAAGAAAAAACCACATCCATACACACAATCAAACGGCAAAATGTCCAGTCAAACAACACCGTCAAGAACAAACAGAGGGAATGCGGCCACACCATGATGAAAGATAATCGGGGCAGTTCAAGTAGAGAAGCATATGGGACTCTGTACTCCACTCTCACATTCCCCAACCAGCCATCAGTGTTCACCAAATGTATTCCGTGGTACACACAACACACTGTGGACCTCTCCAGAATGAGTCAGCTCCCGCAGAGAACACAGCAATCAAAAACAAACCCCTTAAACCATATAAATGTTCATGTGCAGTGTCTATTCATCTATTTTGAATCAGCGTACATAATGGAGGAAAGAATAAAAAAAAAAGGAAGAAAAAAAAAGCACATGCCAACAAATAAACCAAGTAACAAAAACAGATTATTAGGACATCATAACAACGATACATCCATGGGGACCATTCTCCCTGGGGAAAAGAAAAATATCCATACTGATGATATTACCCCAATAAAGAAATCATTAGCCCAATCCCTACAATGAAGGTTTTTCCACACACACAAGAGAAACTGAATTAAAACAAACACACACACGCACACACATGGATTTCAAAAAAGAAAAAAAAAATGTTTTTGCCCCACCCACACATAAAAAAAAAACTTATATTTAATATCATCCCATCGAATTCCTGCCCAGTCACACATCACTCACACTTGCTGTGGCCTTCAACGTGCTCGCTTACTCCTCTGCTCCATCCGCACTCTGCAAAAGATGAGGTGAAGAAATCAAGCATCGTGTGTGGGCAAACAAAGTGGCATTGGGAATTAATCCCTAGACTCCAGAGATTGTAGCAAACAGTTAATTTTCCAAAAAAACAGAAAAAGAAAAGAACTCAATGGTGCTGAACCCAAGGAACAGCCGCAAGAAAAAAAAAACAATTAAAAAGAAAAGGGTCCACACTATGGAGAGCAATTTTTATTTACTGATGCAACCAAGCCCAATCAGAAATCATATTCACGTGGTTGCACATACATTTATAGGAGGGATGTTGCAAGAGCCCACAACCCCAGCAGAAGTATTGGCAATCCATGTCCATACACACGAACAGTGCCATCAATAGTGTTTTGGTGGGCCTTCGCAAGTTCAACGCTGATCTGCGAATTCGCTTGCCCTCCACTGATCGTATTCACTGTGTCTTTGGTTGGATCAGCTCCTGCAGTAGTGCTGGTAGCAGGATTCTGGTGAGAAGCTGTTGCCTGCCCTGAAATTCTCTTAATTTCACTTTCTGACAATAAAACATTCGCCTTGTTCTTAACCAGTGCATCAATTTCAGTGGGAAGGAGCCCACGGTTGTATAGCATAACATCTTTCATTGTTATATGGACATTGGCTTTTACTTCCTCATCCTCTCGACTGTACGCACCAAAGTAAAAGTGGGAAATTTCCTTCTCTTCTTCTGCGATTCTCAAGTCAGTTCCCACGTCTAGACGAGTACCGTTGATATACACAGAACCCTTACCATTCTCAAATGTCAATATCACAGAATATTCATTGTCCACTTCCCATTGAAGTATTTCAACCTTCCTTCCTTCTCCCCTGTTTATGGTGCTCCACGTTTTGTCTTTATTGTACGACAATCCCAGAAAAATAATGTGCTTGGTGTGGTCCCACAGCCTTGCACCCAACAAAGGCCTGCTGTCCTCCTCTGGTACAGCGTGGATAGTTACCGTCGCCGCAAGAGTAAAGGCATAGTTTGCAAAGTGATACTGCCTCGCCAGTCTACCATTGCTCACGGGCCACATTGCTCCTGCATCAGCACCGTTGAACTTCAAACCATTAGAAACATTCTCTGTTGTACCACTTACAACGGCATTCACGCAGAGGTATTCATCATTCCATTCTCCTCCATCGCTCTTTCCAGACAAATAGCCCACCAGTCCAGTAGTGGAAACAGGATATTTACACTGACCAGATGTACAGGCTTTACCAGATAAGGTCTTGTCCTGTTCATTCCACGTGGTTAGCACCCTCTTGATATCCTCCATAGCAGTCGTCAGTTCCACAAAAAATTCTTTATGTTCATTTCCCATACTATCAGGATGATAGAGACAGTACAGTTTGTGATCCTTGAACAATAAAGTACAGGACATCCTTTCTTTATCCTTATTTATCACACCAACGTGATAAATACGTGTGTTATCAGTAAGCCACAGATGGCGTTGGATACCGTCAAAATCCAGAGACTGCGCAAAAAGAATGACATCTTTCCCACCAATAGTTGCAGTCATGAAGTTGATTTGACCTCCACGATCAGGATATACAGGGGTGTTGGCCCACACACGAGAGAATGTACTGGTTGACTCTTTCCATGTCTTTCCCAAATCGCTGGACTGATACACTCTGTGGCAGCCACTTTCATGCTGAGCAATCATCATCAAGTTACCTTCCCTCCACTCAACAATAGCAGGATTAGAAGTATTCCCTTCGTCAGCCAAACCAGCAATATTCCATTGTTTATCATGGGATGTGTAATACATAACTGTCGAAATGAACCTGTTCTCCGTCGTAACCAATTGCACAGGAAACACAAATGTACCGTTTTTCATTGTCAAAATTGGTGTATTCTCGTTATCAGGTAATCCCACAACCGTTGTTGTTCCATATTCAGTGGGAAATGTAACATTGAAAGGAGTGTAACTCAACGAATACTTTTCGGTTCCATTATTAAGAGTAGTCACCCACACAATGCGAACAACAGAATCTGCTTGACTTTGAGGGTTGTCACTTTCCACAAGAGCAACCACAGCCCGAGGGTCACCATGAGGTTTATACTTCTCGAGATTTTTAACGTATTTATCTGTTTTGGGACCGAACCACTTTAAGTGGATTTCACTCCACTCTCCATTGTTATTCATATCTTGTGACAGAAATTTGACCAATTCATTCTTATCTTTACGCGATTGTTCCACAGCAGCAGCGTCAATTGCCACCAGTTCACCATTCACAAATTCCACAACATGAGCACCATTAAATCGACGGAAAGAAAATCCTGTTAGTCCTTCTAGTTTTACTTTTTTTTGAAGCGTTTGCAGTTCTTCATGTCCAGGCATCATTTTTTCTTTGAGTTCCCTTTGATGTACTCCATCATCATCAACAGGACTTCCTTGAGAATGACTCTCTTGTGCATACCCACTGATGCAGCCCAGCAACAAGAGGAGCAATACAACAAACAGAGAGTGGGGCATTTTGTATTTCATTGCTGCCCTTCTTCCTTCTCTCTCACTCTCTTTCTCTCCTCAGTCCTTTCTTTCTTGTTGTCTTCTCGTTCTTCTCTTCAGGATGAAGAGGTTATTCAAATACTTGTAGTAAATACCAAAAAAATGCTTGTGTTTGTATGTGTGGCGGCTGGTGATTACTTTCAAGGCTATAAAATTGCAAAGTAGCGTTTGTATCTTAGCCTATTCAATCATAATATGTGGAAATGGTTAAGAAAAAAAATCAAAAAGAATTGTGTGATCAAATAAGAGAAGCATAGAGGCCGAAACCATACAAAGGTAGTCACACCACAGGGAAAACAATCAAATCCCACTGAATTTGGGAGAATGGTATTATAATGAAAGAAAAATAAAAACCGAAAGTTCACAGAATATGATCCCCTACTTTGGTCAAACCACAAAAAAAAAATAAAACAGAAATAAACGATAAAAAGAAAAAAAAAATTCTATGTAGTTTGAATTGCCTCGCACCTCTTCTCATTCCATAAATCAAAAAGAAAAGGGAAAAACAAAGTATACATTAGACTCTCTAGTCTATCAGATGGATCATCCGGCAAGAGTTAACAAGTGGCAGATTCTACAGTCCCTTACCTCTTCAGATCCCCCTACTTGAGGAGGGAAAGTATTGGGGTTGTGTGGATAGGGCTGTAAAGAGGAAGAGGAATAAAAAATAATTAAATCTCTTCGAATTACTGAGAGAGTGGTTCTTCCAAACTTTACAAAAAACAAACCCAACAAATGAAAAGAAGAGCATTAAAGCACTCCCCCCACCCCAACCCAGACCTTGACTGTAATAAACCAAATACAGATGCATATTCTTTTCACAAACTCCCAAAACGAAAAAAAAAATAACTTTCTCAGGTTATTTTACCCCTTAATAGTAACTATCAAGAAGGCAATACTAAAATAAAAATAAAAAGGACCCTCCATTAGCCCTTATCGTATCCATCAGATGAATGCAGTACAAGATTCTTGAAATTAAGACACTAACACATTGTAGAATTCAAAGCAAACACACACACACACAGCTATAAATCTTTAGTGGATACCAATACAAGTCCATTCATGATTCCGTTACTTCTCACACTATGATTGTAATTTCTCGCATTCTCTCATGTGCAGAAAATAAACCAGTGTCGTTGAGAATATGATTATCTGCATATTTACTGGACATGAGTAATTTGTCACCATAGGAGAAGGATATGTACACTACAAGAGAGTAAGAAAAGGTGGACAAACATTCGTCATGGAAATGAATTGCGCACTCAAGTGTTCCTTATGTGTGTTTGTGTGGGATATTTGTTAATCATTGAGGTCTCCACACACCCTAGTATTGATAAACATAAACATAGATAAACAGAACGTCATGTAATTTCTGTTTATCTTTTTCTTCATTAAGTATACCCAAATATAAACAAGATTTGTGGCTGTGGTTTTTTTTTTTTTTTTCTCTTCCATACCCACCCATTGTGCCCACATTCTTTTGGATACTTGAAGAGCACTGAGAGTATTCCATAATTACTCTAAGCCCACACTAGGAAGAAAAGAAAACCCTTAAAGGACAGGGTACACAGACTACTGTGTGTATTCCTTTCATTACAACAGAGAAAAGTAAAAGAGTGTTATCAGTCTTACTTTTCAGGAATAAAAAAAAAAACATGAGAAATTAGGGGAATGGAAAAAGTTTCTCTTTATCCCCCATGATGCCTATGAATATATAGATGAAACTAAAACATCACGGTGATTGCTAGAATTCTCATATTATTATCTAGCACTGTTGTTTTTTTTTTGTTTTTCCTTAAGGAAAAGGAGGCGCTGAAAACGACGTTTAATCCCCCTCTCGTCCGCAGGTGAAGAAGGATAGTTTGGGTGGGGTATTCATAACTTACGCTTTATAGTAAAACCTTAGAATGACAAACATGGAAAGAATTAAACCTCATATTTTACCCAAATATACGTTAGCCAAGAGCATTTTATTTTATTTTTTTATTTTTTTCGGTCAGCTTCCCAAAAGCAAGAAAAAAAAAAGAAAAAAACAGCTAAAATCCCAGAATAATTTCCATCATCGTCTATTTATCCAACTTCTTCAAAAAGAAAGTTATACCAAGTAGTATCCAGATTAACGAAACAAAATATATTAACAATAGTGAAGAATAAATTATCATAATATCATTTTTTTTTTTCTTCTTTCTTTCAAAAAGGATAATAATAGATTTAAAGATTGTCTATTGCAGTTCTGATACGTTCCAGTGCAATAGCAGAAGAAAGAGCACCATTAAGACCCCGCTGAACGTCGTGTGCAAGGTGATTAGGATGAATCATGTATACAACTCTTTGTGCTTTCTTAAGAATATCAGGATGCGGTGAAGTACCTTCCTCTGGAATAGCTAACATGATACCACGGTATCCCGTATTTAAAGCATCTTTAACAGCATTATAGAGAGAATTACTATCATCAAGATATACCTCAGAACCTATTAAATGATCAATATCACAAAAATCTGATATTGGGTGTTCTTTAGATAAAGAATGGTGATTTTTTAACCATTTTTGTAAATAGGTATTTTCTGGTCTAATAAAAGTAGATTCATTCTCATTTGTAGGTACATTATGAATCTTAATATAAGGGTAATACTGGTAAAGTACCCAAATAACGTATCCATCCAAATTTTTGTTGCAGTCTGCATCATCCACTCCATCGTAAAATAAAGTTTGCAATAAATGTTGAGTACCAACAGCGCCACGTCTGCTAAACTTTTTACGATTCAAAACAATCATTTTTTCACAGTTAAAAACGTTCGCATTACGCATTATAGCTCCAATATTACGGTCTCCAAACTCATTGTATATCATAAGAGAGAGTTGCATCTTGTACGATAATCGACGAGTCTCTAGAATTTTCACAATTTCATCATTAGAGAAAGAAAGAAGATCTTTTTCATGAGGAAGTGGTTTCCCCTGATTTTCCTTGACAAAACCATTACTAAGCGGCATGTGTCCTTGTGATGTTTTTGAAAACACTGACTGGACCATAGTTGTATTTTCTACCTGTTGCGCTGAGTGAGCCGAGTGCAGAACAATTGCCATTGCCGAAAGCATTGAAAGTGAACCAATGGAACCATACTGTGGGATATACACACAGTAGTCACATTCTTCAATAACACTTTCTGATAATCCATTTTCCATTCCGAGTACAATTTCTACACCACTGTTGTAATCTTCCATCTCTTTACATCCCTCTTGTGTTGGAGATACTATCTGTTGCCAGGGGAAGTTCTGCAAAGGTTGCGCCTCTGGATGAGAAGGAGTTAACGCAACCTTTATCTTCTTTTGTGATAATCTAGCTTCTACTTCGGCGTGCATATAAAAAACTCGATTTCCACCAAAGGCAATATCCATTGATGGTGTTACATTTACAAGAGGACTGAGAACTTTGGGGTGTTCACATCCATAAAACATTGCGAGACGTAAAAGACACCATGCATTGTATGCAAATTTAATATCCTCCACAGTTAAACTCGCAAATCCGAGAAGTGGTAAGAATGCCTTTTCTTGTGGCCAGAAGATGTTGTACGCCCATGCGTCGAAATCTCGTTTAAGAAGAGAACAACGTGAACGCCACATGATGAAACCGAGATCCTTTTTTCCTTTTTTTCTATCTGTGTACGCGTACGTGTATACTTCTTCTCTTCTGGTCTCTCTCTCTCTTTCCCTCTCTCCAATTGGTAGAAGAAGATACCACGTCGCTCCAGAGAAATAAGAAATGTAAAATAAGAAAGATCACAAGATTGGATAATACAATTGAAATAGATCAACACTATAAAACGTGATTTGCAAAAATAGAAAAAAAAGAAAATGTAGTAATGATCCAAAAAAAAAAAAAAAGAATTACAGCAATCTCATCTAAATAATAATAATAATAATAATAATAGTACCGACCTTTCTTTATAGCTTTGTTAGCGACCTCAATATTTCTCTACCGACACTTCATTCGCGTTTCGCTCAATATATTTTGAATCAACACACGTGAGGGGTCATCAAACGGTATATCCCGTGGAAAGAGAAGATGACGTGAACGCAGAGGTGTTGCCAAACGAACGTCAACGACCATTTTCTTCTTCGCCGCATCATCCTGCATTGGCAGCCGAAGAATAGGCGTCTGCTCAATGGCCGGCGAAGGCACAGTGGGGGATGTGCTGCGCAGCGTGTCTGCAAACGCCTGCTGGGATTCTCGCGATGCCGCAAATCTGCGAAGGCGCGCCACCGCCTCCACATATCCCGGCGGTACAAACGCGGATGGTCCCCGCGGTTCCTGCCGCTCCACGTGCGGCGTTGGCCCAATGGCCTCCAGTCGATCTATAGATGGTGGTTCTGGGGTCAGTTTGGCTTCGTAGGATTTGGTGGGTTTACTCCATCGACAGACATTCGGCGATGGACGAGGGGGAATTAATTTGGATGAAGCGGAACGATCAGATCGCTTCATATTGGTTTTGGTACTTAATGTGGTTGGGATTGCTTCAGGTGGAGAAGCAGTTGTTTTTGCTCTACTTCTTCTATTATTTGCATCTTCTATAAGCCGCTGAAAAACCTCACGACTCTGCGATGGTGATAAGCGTCTGTTTCGTGGAGAAACATGAACACCTGATGCTGCAGAGGATCCCACTGCTTTGGCTTTATTGCCCCGCGATGGAGCAGAAGCCGAGCGATTTCGTCGTATACTTGAGAGTGTTGGCGACGCATATCGTGGGTTTTCAGCGTAAACGAAATGATCATCCACTGCTGCAGAATCTCTGGGCACATGTTGTTGTGGTTCCTTTTCTTCTTTTTCTTCTTCTTGCTGCTGTGGCTGCTGTGGAGGTTTTCGTTCCTGTAGTGATGATGATCTTTTTCTTGATCTTGATGATGATGAACTTGATGATAAGGGTGCATCATCCGGGATCTCCGGTCGAGATTCTGGTGAAAGAAACGGAACAAGTGGTTTAGGCGTTTCTGTCAGTGGTGTTGAAGCACTATGTTCTTCAAATAAAACTTTACTATTTTGCAGTTGTTTCTTATGTTGTTGTTTCTTTTGTTGTTGCTGTTGTGGTGGTGGTGTTGGTGGTGGTGCGGACTCTATCAATTTCTCTTGCAGATATCCATGAATACACTCTGCAGCCCAACCCATATCACTAACAACACCCTCTGGGCGGCCCCGCACCATATCATACCAGCAATCATCCATACGATCAGTACTCCACACACAGCCAAATTGCTGCAGCAGCCGTTCAAGATCACAGTACCGCAGCGAACTGCCAAATCCACCGGCTTCTCTCGGCCTGGAAATGACTTCTATCAACTGCGCAATAGAATCTTTATTAGATGATCTTGATCTTTCATGACGCAGTGAATCTGAGCTAGATAGTGAACAAGGACTACGTCCATTACAATTATCTAGATTTCCCATACGGTACAGAATCTATTGTTTTATTTTTATATGTTTTTTATCTTATTTTTTATTTTTCTTTTGTGTAGATCTTCTTCTTCTTCTTGTCTACCCCTCCTCGTATCTGACTATAAAAAAATAATAATAATAGAAAAGTAAAAAAAAGAAAAAAAACACCAAACAAAGAGAAAAAATACAGCAAAGATAAAATCCACAATGGAAAGACATAAAATACACACACACACTAAAAGAAAAAAAAATATATGAAAACAAAGGTGAAAAAAAGATCTTACAACATGTACTAAAACGCAAAAGAATGGAAAGAAGTGGTGGTCGTTTCTTTCTTTGTTTGCTTTTGTTTTGTTTCCCTTTTTTTTTTTGTTTGTTTGTATGAAATGTATGTCTCTGTACGCTGTGTAATTAATCCATTTAAAAAGATACTCTTTTTTTTTTTCTTCTTTTTCTCTCTCTGTACCTTCTTTCGCTCTTCGTCTTTTTCCCCCCTTTTTTTTTCTTTTTCTTTTCCAATTTGCTACCTTCTTATTCTGTTAGACCGAAATAAATGTCGGACGCAGGCATCGTCGTGAGTACATATTGAATAAACGATGAATGTCCGTAACGACCTGCCAGCCGTCTACAAGGTGCTTTGCATCCTTCCAAGACGTTTCACTTCCTAATGGATTATTCTCCTGAACACACAGGCGGGCTTTGAGCAAATAATAATCCCAAGGCACCTCTACTCCCAAACAACTCCGTACTTTTGGGCTAATGATCCACGGTCGCAGCCATTCTTCTACATCGGCTATGGATTCCTTTTTATTATGTTGTGAACTCACCCCTTCATTAGATAAGGTACATTCATTGTAAAAATGAAAGGCTTTACTACTCAAGAAGGATGGAGCAGCTGAAGTAAAATTAAGCAACAGGTGGAGAAGATTATCCCACTCATTGTCATCAAGAAAACCCACAAGACGTTCACATTCTGTTTGTATACGTGTGGTAATTTCTTTTTGAATAAAAACATTCATTCTATCTCCTTCTTCTGTAATTTTGGGGGCTGTAGATACGGCGGCAACAACACCTTTCATTAAGCCAGGAGTAAATTCAAGCTCCGCAACGGTCAAATACGCCAATTTATCATTAAACATCATAAATGAAGGTATATTACTAGACTCATTATCTGAGACTATATCAGCTCTAAGATGTGCACCAAAAAGTTTATGTAATACTGGATTCCCTTCTGTTCCCATGAAAATACCGAGAGGACTTCCCCAACATGCCAAACAACGATTAATAAATTCTTCTTTATTGCAAAGTAAATTTTCAAAACTCGTCTCGGTAGCATGATATCGTTTCCAGCTTCCTGTATAACACTGCCACATCTGTGCACATCGCATTGCAAAGAGTGATACACTAGCAACGAGGAGAATATATAGTTTTTCTCGTTTATACATGAAAGAACCAAGTTTTAATCTCTCATTCCAGTGATATAATAAAGCATCAATAGTAGTTATATGTTTTTCATTCACGTAAAAAAGGTATTCATAGATAGGGGGATTAACTACCAAATGTGGTTTATATTTAAGTTGAAGACATCGTTCTTGTCCTAATTCTCGAAGTTTCTTGTCGATAATACGGGAAGCATTAGTAATAGGTAAATCATTGTGTTTGCAAACTTCCACATGCAACTCTACAATACCTGAAGGAGATGCCTCTTCAATAGCACGTTTAATTCGTTCTGCGTGTTCAAATGGTACAACATCATCAAGACTACCATGATGTATAATAACAGGGCAACGAACCTGAGCAATTACATCTATAGTGCGAAACCAATCGTAACCTAAAAAACATACAATTGATCCAACATTTCGTGTAATTTCATTCGCACATTCTTTTAATGAAGTAAAAGGAGATTGTAATACAAGCAATGCTGGTATATCAGATTCATCTTGCATAGCAGCACATAATTGAGCTGATGGTCCTGTTCCAATAGATCTACCCATAATAACAATTCGATTTGTTGGTATATGTAGATAGCGAATGGCGTAACAGTATGCAGATAACATATCTTCATTCATAGATCTCTCTGTTGTTTCACCATGGGTAATACCATAACCTGTATATTCAAAGAGTAGCACTGATACAGATGCCCGTTTACTCAAATATGAGAGTTCATCAAACATCATCGCCATATCAACTGCATTCATGTGAGCATAGATGACAATATACTTCGCCGTTGGGTCAATTAATAAAAGTCCATACGTAAAAGTACCATTTTCTTTCCGTGTCTCCCAGTCAACCCTCGGTATATGTACTAGCTTGCCAGGATGGACAGCCGTGTTGTAGCTTGGGGACGGCTTTGGGAGTATGAAAGACTTAACGATAGACCCCAAAAAAGTCGCCATCTCCCTCCACTATAATTTCATAAATAATTTTAAACACAACAAAGAAAAAGAAAAAAGAAAGAAAAAAAAGAAAAAGAAACCCCAATAACAGTCAAACAAACAAGTTATCATTTTACTTTCAAACTTACAAAAACAAATAGACTAAACAAGTAAAACGAAATTACAAACAAACACACACACACACACACACGCAGACAGACACAAGAAGCAAAAAAAAAAAAAAAACAAAAAAAAAGACTTTCATCACATCTTCTTCTTCTTCTTCTTCACGCATACACACACAAAAGAACTAAAACGCCTCTCTAGCAGTAGGTTCAATATCTCGACGAAAGTCTTCTTGTGTTACTGGACAAATATGTTCATCCTCCATGCAAGCTTGGTGTACTATCACACCATTTGGAAATCGCATAAAAACAATACCAGGGCGAAGTTTCTTATGACACACCGCACAGCACGTTCCTAAATCCATCACTGCACGTTTAGATCGTTCTCTTGCGAGTGTCAATTCTGCTTGATGTATACGAGCCTGGAGAATATTAGCATAAATAGCCGCATTGTGACTCCGTGTAGATACATCACGAAGTGAGTGTTGCATAAAATCCGCTATAGCAGCAATAGGTGTACTCTCAGGAAGCATAGGTAACACCGTTAATGGATCTGCCCCTTCAGATGAGTTAATAATAGCAATTGCGTCCTCCAAGAGAGGAGGTGCACCTGTATCACCGGGATCTAGTAAAAGTCGTAGCAACACACAGAAGGCATCTTCTCCATCACGACTAACCTGAGTGGCGTAGTCTTGGGCTTCCTTTAGTTGTTTTGCCTCATATAGAAACATACGAATAGCCTGTTCGTGGAGTTTAAGCCTTTGATAAATAATAGCACACTCTGTATAGGCGTATTTTTTTACATCAGGTCGCTCAAAGAATAACTTTGCTTTTTCCATATCTATGTAACGTGAGACTCGAAGAAAGTCATCTAGTCTTCGTCGCCATAATTTTTTTTGTTCTTCTTTTTCTTTTTCTTCTTCTCGTTTTTGTTCCTTTTTATCTTGTTCTGTTTTTTCTTTTCCTTCCAATAGAGTAGAATGGGTTAGCAACAATTGTGCTAAATTTTCCCAATAGGCATTATGCATAACAGCATCCTTGCAAGTATTGCAAGCATCACCAAATAGTAATGAAAGCCATTCCACCACACGTTCCTGACTTTGTACAGATCCTATTTTACTCATATCAGTACTCAAAAGTTGAAGAATTGTATGGTGGTGTTGTACTTGTACTAGTGATGGAGGGAACATAGTGACAGACCAATGTGGAGGAAGGTTTGCCAGAATCCATGGTGTGTACCGCTCAATCAATACAATATTATCCTGTTCACTCCATGATAACATCTGTACATAGCGGATTGTGGTGACTACACCAACGCAACGACGGAGAAGGTATAATTTCTCTGATTTTTCCATATTTACTACAATATTAGCGAGAATTTTTGCAATAACACTTTGTGAGGTGAAATCACTGTTACTATTTCCCCCTAAAAGAGGAGAAGATAAAACTTGTTGAAGTATATGAATTACCTTAGAATCAAAAGAAAACCCTACTACTTGAGGAGGTGAAAGTAAAGTTTTAGACTCTAATGAAACTCGTTCCCCTGTTGTACCAAGTGTATAGAGTAACCCAAGAATTCTACTATGCTGTTTGGATTGGTACCATAATGCTATTAAAGCCACCCACTCTTCACTATCAGCTAAGAATACCTCCGTCTCAGTGAGAGAGCATGTATTCTTCTCACTAAGAAAATGAAGTAACTGGTGTTCCTGTCCAATAACCACATATGCTTTTAAAATAGCAGTATCGATAGCTTCTAATAACACTAATGCATCTTTTTCTGATTCTTCAATTTCTCGTCGCATTGGTATAGCGTAATCAAGAAAAGCTGTAACAGCTTCTTGCATATGAGGTGCTAACTCTGTTGTATCAAGTGATTTTGTATATTCCTTTGGAGGTTGCCATGATTCTCTTGCTCGTTGAGTAAGAAAACCTGGAAAAAGATCTATCACCAAACGTGGATCAACATCTGCATCACGGAAACGTAACATGGCAGCCTTAAAATCTTTTTTTACAATAAAACTCCATAGTGCAAATTGTGTTTTTAGGCTATTCACAGTGGCCTGTTCCACCTCATTAATACAGAGTTGAGAAAGAAGTAATCCTGTTTCAAAACATTTTGCTGCGGCGAGAGCTGTAATTTGCTCTTGTAATGAAACCTCTTCAAGGAGATAAACTGTACTACTACTAGTACTGAGTGCGATAGTAATATCCTTATGTAGTGTGTCTAGTGAAGTTTCACGAGTGGGTAATCTTGCATCAAAGTCAGCGAATGGTCTTTGTGAGATACGATCTACATTTTTAATACTAATCATCTGACAAAGTGTAGATGGTGTTCCCTCTGGTTGTGTATTGAGGAAGGGTATGTGTACCTCAATGCCACTTACGTCGTTTGCAGTAAGAAGAAAGGGGTGTATGTATGTTGCGCATGCTGGTGGGGGAGGTACGTGAATGGCTGCGGTTCCCGGGACGGGGCTGCCGTCGTGAAGGGCGCGGGCGTCACCGAGGAGGACCTCCGGAACGGGATCTAAAGAGAGAAGCCTCGGGGCGGCCAGCGAAGAAGAAGAAGAAAGAGGGATGGGGAGAGGGATGGGGAGACCGCCGCCCGCGGGTCCACTCCCGGCGGGGTCCACGAGGGCGTACCCCCGGCGGCCGGCGAGGAGGAGACGCCGCCCCGCCCACAGCAGCGATCGGGCCCCGTCCGGCGCCGGCAGTCCGTCGCGCGTCAACACGAAAGCCCGCGACTCGTCGTGATAGTCGTAAACGGCGATTTTCTTTCGCTGCAGCACCGCCAGGCTGAAGGTCCCCCGCTGCCGCTTTACGTGGAAGGCCACAACGTCCTTGGCCCCACGCACCACACCGAGTTCGGGCATACGATCCTCCGGAAGATCATCCAAGTGGGTGCGACTCAGACGAGGAAGGTGATGGACCACGATAATATCACCCGCCAGAGCCAGGAGAATCTCTTTTTCCACTATAGGGATAATCATACGAATGGGTTGTTTATGCTTAGAAGTGTGAATATAAACACACTGGGCATCACAGGTGCTACCCGTACTTACTTCATAAACAACAAGTTTTCCATCATTGGTGCCAAGAAAAAAATTATTTCCTGCGGTAGCTATAGATTCAATTTTGTACGGCAACTTTTGCTTGAGTTCACGCAAACGGAATACTTCATGAGACATTCGTAGATTAGTAAAAATAAAAAATAATAATAATCAGCGTCTCAAGGATATATAAATATATCTGTCAGTCGATACGTTTCTTTCTACCGTTATCGCTTTGTTTCTCTCTCTCTCTCTCTCTCTCTCTCTCTCTCTCTCTCTATTTCGATTTCTTTGTATGTCTGTATTTCTCCACACTATCCCTATTTTCCTCAGTTGATATATGTATCCCTTTTTTTTGTGTGTGTATTAAACACCTTTCAATGGTCCCTTTCAGCTATCAAATGTAAAAGAAAAAAAAGGAATTATAAAGCCATTCTTAGCAATTAAATAAATAAATAAATAAATAAATAAATAAAACTAATTGTAATGAGAAACAGGAGGCATTAATTCCACAAAAACACACAAACATCAAATATTTTTTTTTTCTTCTTCTTCTTCTTTTTGAACATTTACACAGCTTCTTTTTAGACACTCCATAACTCTGTAAGAGGGTTCCAGTCATCTATGAGAGAAAGAGTTTTGCCGTCGAAAAGAAGTATCGCACTTGGAAATGGTGCACCCCCATTACCCCCTTCACCTAGGCGTCTAATATGCATCTGCGTTGTAGGACCAGTTATAGCGGTAGACTGCAACGCCATCTTTTCACGTTCTGTTCGCGTCAACTGTGAGTAACGCTCAAGAAAATCTCCAAAGTCACTAGCGAGACGCCGCATCGCCTCACTGTGTCGCTCGCTGCGACCTTCATTTAAGAGACCTTCTAAATGATTCACCATCAGCGAACAGCAATGTCGATCTGTTAAAGGAATACCTAAACCAATGTCAACAATAAATACTTCATTAATAGAATAAAGAAGAACTGGAGATTCTTCCTTATCATCTCCTGTTTTTAATGTTTCTCTCGTTTCTGTTGTTTTTACAGAATTTATAGCATCAACAGGTGTTGTCATCGTCTCTAATGATAATGTTGAAGGTAGTGGAGAAAATTCTTCGACCACCGTTGTTGGTACATTCCTATTTGTTGCTGTTACTGTTGGTGTTTCGGTAATGGTAGTGGTACTGGTAGTGGTGGAAGTAGACTTTCTTTTTATTTTTTTTGAGAGAATTTCTTGAAGAGATATTTGAAAGGTAAAGCATCCAAAAGAGTCATGTAAATGTAATGCTTCCACCGCCTTTTGAAAGCATTCCAAAAAAGGAGCCACTGCTGTTTTACCTTCACATGCATGAACATCTACAAAACTAATCGTTCCTATTCGTTTATGTTTCTTCACAGCAATCTGCAGGAGTTCCACCGCCTCATCGTCTGAGGCAGTGAATGGTACCATTACAGAAATCGAAAAATCTGCAGATGACTCCATCAGAAATCCACTCGTTTCTCCAGAAACAATAGGTAAATTAGCTACACGTTGTACAAACATAGGTGCTGTTGAAGTCATCTCATTCACCAAAATAAGAGATGAAGCCGCATCTACATATGTAATTTCAGCATCCATTGTAAGTGGTTCAAGCCGTAACTTTGCCATACTCTTTTCCGTATCTTGTAGGAACGGTGGCCACGAAAATAGACGAGCACCAATTGGAAGAAGCATACATGGTGGTCCATTTCCCATTACAGTATAGAGATAAAGCGTCATCCACGGTGATGGCATAAGACTTACGGTACTTCCATATACTCCATTTAACGCAATATCAATAAGTGGTGCATATGATACGGGTGAAGTGACAAAATATGCCCAATAGTTACGTCCAAGAACAGAGTAACGTGTCGTTGGTTCTAATTCATTTATAGATTCAACCTTAAGCATATCTACACCACACTCCTTATCTGGACCTACAACACGTCGTAGTGCTTTAAGTACTTCTCGGAGTGACAAAACACTATGGATGTATTTAACCGCCTCACCACCGAGATGGTCTTCAGCATAATTATTCACTTGATCCAGTTTATCAATAAAACTTCCAATCATTTCTTCTGATAACTTCCCTATTTCAAATAAAGTAACCGCAAGCTGTTTAAACGTTGGATCAGCACTTAGATTTGTCATCATAAGAAAACCTGTAAGAGTAGCGTCGTACAATAATGCCACTCGTCTTGATGGATGACCTCCAGCTATGATATTATTACTGCTATTACTGCAATTACCACTAACAATAGGACCTTCTCCTACCAAACCACATTCACCTTCTGCTGATGGTTCGACTGAAGCTGCGGAAGAAGTATTAGGTGCTTCAGGAATATATTCTTTTACAATATCATGCCAACTTTCATGAATACGATCCATTGAATGTGTGAGATCTTCTGGAATTCGTATCGTTTTAGGTTGTGCGAGACCTAGTCTAATATATACATGTGCAGCAGCGCAGACATCCGCTTCATCCAGCATAAGTAACTGCGCAAGACAACTTAAGGATGTGCGATTGTCAATAGTTCCAAGAATTCTATATAATAAAACCTCACAAGGATCATCAGAAGTACGATTCATTACAAAACGTTCAAGGGGTGGAACAATAATTTGATCTTCTGAATTTACCGTAAATGTTGCGCAAATTAATCCTTTACAGTATAAGCGATGAAGTGGAATACGTGGCCATTCACAAGCATAAGAAGATAATGATGATTGAATATAATTGAAACTATTACTAGTCGTAACCATGCTAGTTACTCCACTACGAGTATTAGTACCACCACTAAGATTACTACCACTATCATTATTAACACCAATAATAATATTGTTATTATTATTATTACTATTAATAATATTATTACTGTAAGAGTTTTGTCTGAGTATTTGACGATACAACATTATGTCATCAGAACTAAGAGAGGACTTTTTTAATGTTTCTGTTGAAACCTCTACAGCAAAAATATTCCAAAATGGTGGTAATGGTACAGATGGGAGCATTTCTGATGGTAAATGTGTATTAACATATTGTCGGTTAATATGCCAGCGTAACTTGCTCCTTACTTCCTTTGTAAGCTCAAGGTATTGATTACGACCAATACCAATGCAATTAAGTATATCAACAGCAGTAAAATTAGGTAGTGTATCATAACTACGTTCCGTTTTGAGTAAATCGGCTACCATAGATGTATAATAACTTAGTGGTGTCTCCTTTGTATAGTATACAATTTTTCGAATATGCAAGTACGGATAAAGTTGCAGTTTCTCATGTAGATGACTAATCATAATTTCATAATATTTCGCCTCTGTGAGGGCAGTCCGCACAAATTCGGGGAGTCGAGCGTAACTGTGATATCGCATCACGGCGAAGTGAACACTGTGCAGTTGATACGCCTGCGCACTCACCCGCTGCCGCAGTGGAGCACTCAAGGAATTATACGGCACCCGCGACTCCAGCGCCTGCTGTAAACCCACCGCGTGGTGTTGGGCGGACATCTGAGAAGATCCAAACAAACAAACAAACAACGAAGATTGTGGGGAAAAAAAGAAGAAGAGAGGGAGGGGTGGGGGTAACGTGCAAACGGATATAATAATAAAAGCAGATGAGGTCCTTTTTTTTTTTTTTAAAGAAATAAAAAAAGGAAAGCAATAAAGTTGAAACTAATATTGGAGTTCCTTTCTCACATTGTTTGTAAAAAGAAGTTTGTGGAAATAGCAAGAAGAGAAAGAAAAAAAAAAAAGAGAAGAGAAAGAACATCCGATTAACAGAAGGATAAAAATCAAAAGTCTCTACAAGCAGCCAAAATACTATGCAAGAAGAACAACAACAAAAGAAACAAAAAAAAAAAATAAAAAAAAAACGTACACGTGAATATATTTACGAGTAAAAAAAAAAAAGGAATTCACACGAACCCACCTATCTCTCTCTCTCTCTCTCTCATTTTATGCCTTCCCAAGTGTATTATCTACTGTGGGAAGATGTACAGCATGTGAAAGTTCAATCCACTGTTGTAATGCCTGTGATCGCTCTGGTCGCTTATCGTGATCCCAGAGATAGTAACGGTCCGTGGTGGCAGTGATGCTCACATCGGCTGCGGATGCCTCTACTTGTGCGAGCGCTGAAGATGTGGAAGTTGATTGTCCAGCCGCATCGAATGGAGACTTCTGCTCTTGTTTAAATAACCCTGCACAGATAAGAACATAAGAAGGTGGTATTAACACCTCACGTCCTATCAGTGTTCGTCCACGAAAGTTGTTGTGCAGATCCCCATTCTCACTGCGTTTCACGTATTTTGTAAAGTTTTCATCCACATCCGTTGTACCCCGAAAATTAGTTTTAATAGGCAAAGAGTGCACTACCGAAGCCTGCTGCTGCTGCTGGTAGTGATCTTCCCCCATTTTCTCACCCTGTCGAGAGCAATATCGAATAATATTTAGATATAGTTAAAAGAAAAAAAAAGAATTAAAAAAAAAAAAAGAATAAAAGTGATATTCCAAAAAAGGCATTCCAAAGAAAACATTTTCAAATGCGAAAACAAAAAAAAAAGACGAAGAAAAAAAAAGGTAGAAAAAAATATATATGTATATTTAAATATTACACGCAAGAGTGTTGGGAACCTCTTTCATTTTTTTTTTTTTTTTTTCTCTTCCCTGATCAGATCAAATCAAATCAAAATCAGCTGATGCCGTACAACGATGCGAACTTCAAAAGAAGTGGTTGCAGTAGATACGGCTCACTAATGCTTCTGCTACTCTCATCTTCATTCTCTTCTTCCAAACAACGCAGGGCATTTTGTACTTTTAACCGCTTTACTGGGTGCGCACCTGGTACAATAGCTTCCCAGAGAAGTAATTCCTCAAGACAGCTGCGTAGACACGCTGCGGTATCACCGAGTACTGCGTACACAAAGGTCAGTGTATTTCGAAGTTCCTGAAAGAGATAATGAAAAGGGAAGAGGTGTTGACGACAATCTTTCATTAATCGTAGTAATGCGTCTCTGTCACTCCCATCCACCTCGTCTACTTCTTTATCACGAATACGACTGCAGAGAAGTTGAACTTGGGCGAGATGTTCACGCTCCTTTTCCTTAAAACCTGAAGAAAGTGTTGCTTCCAATGCTGCATCAAATGTATCATTCTTCTTATTAATCGTATTGTGATTGTTTTCTTTGCTACTACTACTGCAGCGGGAGCAGAGACAATTAAAGAAGTATCGATCTGCGAGTTCTTCGCGCCGTAGCCGTGCAGGCCAGTAAAGTTGTGGTATGTACGCTATAGTTAGTTCCTCTTCTGGGGCAATTGGACGTGTTGTTACGATTGCACCTGCCTCGATAGCGCAATTAGGCGTACAGGAGTGATTGAAGTATGATGTAATGCTGTCTGCATACAATGCCTGTCCAACACCGAGGCCGGTCTCATCACACACTTCAAGCGCATTGCATCTCACCACTCCAAGAACGTGTGTGATAAACGCCGCCTCTTCACTGCTGCTGTTGTCAGCGGCGTTAATACCAAAGAGATCGTGCGTGAGGGCAACGAGTGGTGCGAGTCGCTGAGAAATGACGGCGGCATGTGATTGCAGTTGTTGGCGCAGCGCCTCGTGGCCAGGCCGGTGGCTGCGGGCGGCAGCGATGGTAGAAATAGTGTGCGCCGCGGCTGCAAAGTCCTCGCGGGTGAATGTTTGTGATTGTGATTGTGATTGTGTTTGAATAACGGCCCTCAGTCGTCGCAGGGGGCCGCACTCGTACTGTTCGTGTTGTTGTCGATGTTCCGCCGCACAGTCTGGCGAACAGTACGCCACCAACCCACAACCTCTGCAGACTGTAGTAGCAGTAGTACTCTCATTATTATTATTATTATTATTATTATTATTCGCCATTGTATGTGTATTCCCTGTTGTGGTCTCTGCGGTGTAATGGACCGCAATGACGATCCCGCAGTGTGCACAGACGCCCCGCCCCGCCGCGTCCTCGTAGACACAAACAGAGAAGGGCTGCAGTGTGCTGCTCACTGCCAACATCGCCGGCAAGCGAGTGCCGGCCACCACACACTTCCCGCAGTCGCCCGCTCGCACTTCCACACACACTTCCTCCGACTCACTCGCACACTGCGTCTCATCCCGCTCCCGCAGCAGTTCGTCAAGGGCCTTTTCCATAAAAGGAAGTGTGGCCTCTCCAAGTGTAGGCAAGAGATGCACCGCACGGCATAAGTACTGCAAAGGACCCGCTTGACACGGTAACGTGATGGTCGGATTTAAAAGTGCACAACGTCCAATAAATGCATAAGCTTTGGCAATTAATGGATTGACGTTTAGTACTTCATATGCTAATGCAACACAAGCCTCATACTCTTCAAGCTTAAAGAGACATGTTAAAGCATTACCGGCACACTTGGTATACTCCTCAAGTGCACTTGCCTTGCTCTTATCGTCCAGCGTTGTGTACACTTGAAGGGCCTCCTGATAAATCGCAGCTGCAGCCCGTGGATCGTTGGAAAAAAGAGCGTTACCTCGTACACGAAGCTCTTCCATTTGGTATGGTTACTAAAAAAAAAAAAAAAAAAAAAAAAAAAAAAAAAAAAAAAAAAAACAA